GTCAGTACCGTTTTTCTAACAGCATTTGTTCACATTGATCTCTGTGTCACATTTTGGTAACCCTCACAATGTATTAAACTTCTTCATTATTAGTATATGTTATGATGATATATGATCAGTGACTATGTTTCACTGAAAGCTCAGATTACTAGTTAGCCTTTTTAGCAATAAAGTGTTTTTGAATTAAGATATGCACTTTTTACTAGACATAATGCTATTGCACACTTAATAGACTAGTGTAAATATAACTTTTATATGCCCTGGGGAACCAGAAAGTTCATTTGACTCAGTTTATTGCAATATGAGCTTTATTGCAGTAGTCTGGAACTGAACCCACAATATCTCCAAGGTGTGCCTGTATAGGGAAGGGTGCCTGTATAGGGAAAGGGTGAGAGCAGCAGGGGTTGTGGTTGACATCCATGTTTGATTAATGTAAAGGGAAGAAAGGTGGGTGTCAAAAGTAACATACCTGCACAACATTGGGCATGCTAGAAAAGTACTGATTTGTACATGTGTATTCTTTCTCCTTTTCCTTTCTAAAATTTGGCTCAATTTTAGTTAAAGCCAACCTAGTAACTTCTTTAAAAATACGTGTTTTTAAAGATAATCAGACTTAGTAATGGGTTTAAAGTTCAACTTCTAAAAATTTGCTCCTATTAAAATAGACTTTTACTGATAATCTTGGTGATACAAATTATAAAAATAGGCTTATTAAAATGTAGCTACCAAGCTTGTGGGGTTTTTTTTGTAACCACTAAACTTTGAGATTTTTTTTTTAGTTTAAGATACATCATGAGCATACTTCTGACTTTATTTTTCTGCATCTTGCTGATACCCTTTTTTCTAGTGATTTACTTAGGAGACGATTATAAAGTCCTCATTTCAAAATTTTATTAGTGAAGTATGTTTCCTTCTAATTTTGAGAAGCTATACTTTAGGCTAGTAGTTTATAGTAGCAACCTTTTCAAACATGTCTTTAAAACCTCTTTCCATGAAAAACAACTTAAAACGAAAGGTTCGTGTATATAGGATCAAGCAAGAGCAATTCTGATCATAATATAAAAAGCCAAATTTCTCTTCCCCCTAAGAATATGAATACCCAGTCTGGAAATGATGGTATTGTTGTGAGTTTTATTATTACTATTAACATTTGTGTAAAGCTTTATAACTTATAAAGTGCTTTCATACATATTATCTCATTTGACTCTCATGATTTCTTGAAGTTTTTCTCTTTTTTATGTCCAGAGAGAACTAGTATGTACTTCTCTTTTCTTTTCATAGCAATTCCAATTCAAAGTATGATAAAATTTATTTTAAAATTAATGAAGACAAATAATAAAAGTATTAGCAAGGATATGAAGAAATTGTATATGTTGGTAGGAATCCAAAATGATGTAGCTGCTATGAAAAACAGTATGACAGCTCTTCAAAAAATTAAGCATAGAAGTACCATATGAGGCAGCAGTTCCACTTCTAGGTACAAACCTGAAAGAAGTGAAAGAAGGAACTCAAACATTTATTTGTATACCCATGTTCATAGCAGTACTATTCACAATAGCCCAAAGGTGGAAATAAACCAGATGCTCATCCACAGGTGAATGGATAAACAGAAAGGAAGGAAATTCTGATACATGCTATTAACATAGATGAACCTTGAAGACATTATAATGAGATAAGCTGATCACAAAGAGACAAATATTATGTGAATCTGCTTATGTGAGCTACTGAAGAGTAGTCAGATTCAGAGACAGAAAGAATAGTGGTTTCCAGGGTCTGGAGGGGGAGAGGGGAATAAGGAGTTACTGTTTAATGGGTACAGAGTTACTGTTTTGCAAGATGAAAAGAGTTCTAGAGAGGGTTAGTGGTGATGATCATATAACACTATGAATGTACTTAACATCACTGAACTTAAAATGGTTAGGTACACTTAAAAATGCTTAAGGTTGTACGTTTTATGTCAATTTTACCACTACAAAAAAAAATGAATATTTACAACTGTTGGCAAGGATTTGGAGAAATCAGAACTCTCATAAATTGCTGGTGGAAATGTAAATGGTGCATCCACTGGGTAAAACAGTTTGGTAGTTCCTCAGAAGTTAAACATGGAGTCATCATTGACCCACGAATTCCACTGCTAGTATGTACTCAAGAAAATTGAAAACATACATTCACACAAAAATCTGTACATAGGTGTTCATACCGGCATTATTCATAATAGTCAAAAATTAGAAACAACCTAAATATTAATCAGCTGATAAATGAACAAGCAAACTGCAGTATGTCCATACAATGGAATAGTATTCTGTATTAAAGGTACTGATAAATGCTGCAACATGGATGTACCTTGAAAACATGCTAAGTGAAAGAAGCCAAACAGAAAGGTCAAATATCCTATGGTCCCATGTCTGTGAAATGTCCTGAATAGGAATATCTGTAAACACAGAAAAGTAGATTAGTGTTTGCTGGAAGGTGAGGGTAAAAAAAGGAAATGGAGAGTGTCTGCTAATAGCGTAGTTTCTTTTTGGAGTAATGAAAATGTTCTGGAATTAGATAGTAGTAATATATACTATAAAATACTGATTTGTACTCTAAAATGGCAAATTTTATGGTATGTGAATTATATCTCAATTTAAAAATAAATGCTTAAGATTGTTTAGCTTAGTTGGGCAATTTCATTGAAAGTTTACATTTCATATAACTTCTTCCCATCCTCCACTTACTGCTGCCAAATGATTGATCTCGTGTACTATTGTACCCCAATTACCTTTCACTCTAGCTCCTAAATTACTTATAGTTCCCAAATGCCGCATACTGCACCATTCCCTTTTTTTTTCTTTTCTCAGAACATTCTCATCCCCACTTATTCCTACCTTTTCTGTTTCTGGCAAACTCCTACTCATATCCCAAAACCCTTCATAAGTCTCCACTTCTCTGAGGTCTTCTCTAGCCAACTTGGTAAAGTGACTTCTTTTCACACAAGTATTGTTAGTACAACTACATTGGTGTGTATCACACTGTGTAACAATAAATTGTTTGCATTTCTGTCTTCCCCACTGAAGTATCCGCTTCTTCAGGGCAGGAACTACTTGTTACTCATCTCACTATCTCTAGCACCTAACAGTTCCTGGCAAATAATAGGTTGATGATGAGAATAATAATAATAATAATAATAATATAATAATTGATAACATTTATTTAATGCACTTATTATATGCCAGATATTATTCAATACACTTTACATTGAGTAATTCATTTTAATCATCACAATAATCCAATCAGTTAGTTGGGTACAGAATGATTAAATAACTTTTCCCAAATTGCCAAACAAGTAAGTAGAAAGGCTGGGATTTAAATCTAGCAGCCTGGCTCCAGAATCTGTATTCTTAATCACTACACTGTGCAGCATCACATATACTAAAAAATGGTTACACTCATAAATTAATTTTATAATTTGACTCCCTTCTAGGCCTAAGTAGCTGTTATCCTTTTCTTAAATAGCATTTATGTCAGGGGAGCTATGTTCATTGTTTTATTTGCTTGAGTTGCCATAAGTACTAGTATAATTTTGTTGTAATATTAAGTACTTCCCTCAGGTAATTTTTTCCTTCAAAACAAAATGAAGACAGTAAGAAATCACCTATGTAGCAAAGAGAAATTTACTGGGGGAAATGTGCCCAATATCCATGCCCTCTACTTCTAGAGTTCTTGCTTCTGTGGAGATCAATGAAGGCTGTGGTCCCGTGTTAGTAATCAGGCAGATGGAGTATCAGTCGAAGCCTAGAAATGCTGTACCCAGCTTTATAGTTTTACCGTATTGAGTACATGTGACTTCCTCATAGGCATAATCTAAAATTGTACAACAGAGCAAATGGGTTTATGTGTTTGACCCATTGCAAGGGAGCATTTCTCTTGTTTTGTAGCATGACAGATATGGTAGTAAAACTGTAAGCCAAAACTCAGCCATAATTTTTAATAACCAAAAGTAAATAGTAGACCACACATTTTCTTACTTTAGTAATAGTAATTGTATTTGTGGCAAAGAAGAGTTTTATTTGTTGGTGTCCTAAATATTTAATAAGAATCAAAGAGCCTGAGGAAGAAATGCCTGGTAGTTTTTAATTATTAAAACAGAGTAATTATATTAGTCTTCCTTTCCCTTTTATTTCCCCCAAAAGATTACCTTACTTGCTTAATTTACTTTCTTGGAAAGAGTGATTAGAGGCTGAGTGATAGTGCTACCATATTGATTAAATGATTTACTGACAAACACTATCGAGCCATCTAGCTGTTTTAATGACACCATCAAAATTTCATTTGATTTATTGTTGCACATCCTTGCAAAGTTGGACTTTAACCATTCTCACAGCTCCTTATTGTGCCTAGGGAATCTCTGAGACATTTTTACCCAGTCCTACTTTTTATATTCATTCTCGGAAGATAAAACTTCTAAGTGAAAACACTCAACAAACATTAAGGACCTTCTTTGACCAGGCACTCTGCTCCTCTGGGAAATTTCCATATTGCCTGTGATTCTTAATAGCAATTTTTGAACTCTCTTCCATTTTAAAATTTCTGCCTGAAGCTTTCCTGAAGGTTTCCTTTTCTTTCCATTTCTAGCTTCCCTTCCCCTGTACCTCCTGTGTGCTTGGAGGCTGCAAGGATTTAGCACTGGTCCTGCCAGCCTCTCCAGATCACATCTCTGTCTATAGTTGGGTCTCCTTGGTAATGAGAAGCAGAAAGTGCTGAAGTAGCACACTCTGTAAGGATTGGCAAGAAAAACCATGCTGTGGCCTGTATAGGGATAGCACTTAATCCCCATGGTGCAGGAGAAGCCAAAGAGAAGCATGGTGTGATGGAGAGCAGGACTCTCCCAGTTAAGGACACAAACTTGGCAGATTTATTAGCAGCAATATTCTAGGGTGAACCTAATTTACAGTTAGTGAGTACTTTTTTTTCAACTGAAAAAAGCCTTTAAAAATTTCTTCCTTCTTTTCTTTCAGGAGACCAGATGCTCCAGTGCCTGATGGCGAAGGTGAAAAAAACACAGAAGAAAGTTCAGATAGTGAATCTTCTTTCAGTGACTGAGTTTAATTTTGATAACAATTACATATGTGTGTGTAGGTGTACATTTACATTCTATACGAAAGAGAACCTGAGCTTGGACACTTAGTTATAAAAACATCAAATAGCCATATATCTACCCCTAGGCTTCCTGTGTTAAAAAAATAAAATGTTTATAACCTGGCAGTATGTCTTGTTACTCAAAAAAAGGACCCTTAACTGAAAGAGAGAATAGCAAAGCCAAAGTAAAGTGCAATTAATACTACATATATTGAGATGGAATTCCATGGATGCAGTGACCATTTAAAATGAAGTCAGTGTGAACTTACAGTGACCAAAAATAGTCTCAATGCAAAAAAAGTGAATTTGGCTGTGTGAATTACTCAATTTTTGTGAATGTTTTAGCATGAAAAGTATTATGTGCATTTGCTAAAGAAAATTCTGACAGAAAGTAATACTGGATTTAAGTTTTCTATAACAACTTGAAACTTATATATATTATGGATTTTGAACATATTGGTAGTATTTATATAGCATATAGAGCTTTTCACCTTTGGTCATTAGTTCATATACTGTCAATGTCAGATATTCTTATTATATTTACTATCAGATAGAAATTGAAAGTAATTTCAATATGGTTCAGGTAAGCAGGCATCATTGTCGTCCATTCTTTTATTGCCTAAACAGGGAAAAAAAACTAATTTGCCCAGGTTTCAAATGCTGTCCTCACCTCACCTTGCAAATAATTCTTCATGAATAATTTTTGCACACAATCTAGGGAAATCTCTAAGATACTTAGATGGAAAGCTACATAAATGCATTTGATTAATGGTGTTCCTCTTAGTTTAGGCAACCTGAAAGCAGCCCCTGGGAAAAGGCCTTGGGTGTAGGTTTCTCATTTGTGAGGTGATCCCACGAAGTAGAAGTGAGAGAACAGGGAGAGCAAGAGGGAGGAAACCCATACAAAGGTGTCTTATCAAGGTTGCTGTTTTTGGCCTTGAGTACTCCAAGACCTGTGAAGCTTCCAAAATGCCTCCTAAAATTGTCTACCTAATGCCGATGGAATAATTATTAACCAGTTTCTGTCCTCCATTAGTTGAGAGTTACCTCTGGGATCATTAACTACCCTTGCACTGTTGGGCTGTACTCTAGTGTGGGAAAGCAGGCTCCCCCAATGTTGAAAAAAGGACTTGGAAAAGCATAAACATGCATGACCTATATATACTCTAGGTAAGATTTCATTAGCAAGAAAGGACAAGTCTGAATTGTCAGAATTGAACTAGCTCAGAATTGTCTAGTTTAGCTGTGGGTGATATCAGAAGTTGATATGGGGATGTTATGTGAGGCAAAAGTGGTGTCTGCTGCCACCCACCCCTTGCCGGTTCAGAACTACTTGAGCCCCATGTTAAGTCCACTCCCACCAAGTCTTCAAGGTGAAGATCAGCCATTGTCTATAAAAGACTACACAGGAAAATTAGACAAGCTGCAGTTCCTGTTCTGCAACTGAACCCAAGGCCAACAAATTCATCATCTCCTTCTTCACCACCCATTTGAGATTTTCCTTGCTCTCTGCCAGAACTTGGGCTGGTCCAGTTTAGCTGCTTGGTGGAATGACCCAGAACCTCATCCCTTTAGAGATCAAGGGGCCTGGGTATACTTTGCCCTTTTTGGGCTATGATTTTCACAAATGTTCAGTGCTCATACCAGGCATGGAAACATTGAGACATGATCCAGTAAATCACCTGAGTTCCAGACACAAGCCTAGTTCCTCATGTTAACCAACATATTAACTCCTTTTTTTTGCCTGTTGTCCCACAGACATGAGCAGCCCTACAGGATGAATTGGCAGCAGTAGCTTCAGTTTTGTGGAATCCTTACAGTGCTCCCTGGTGGAAGTGTGCCAGCTTCTTCCCCTAACCTGTCTAGGAAACAAGACCTCCAATCCAGCAAAGCCTAAGGTGCTAGGAATGGGAAGCACAATTCTGCAAGTAGGTCACTGGGAAACGGTGGTCAAAAAAGCCAATCCTCTTTCTAGTCTCTTTCTATCTGAATTCTAGCAGATGGGGACATGGCATTTGTGCAGTGCATGCATCACATCCTAGAGAACAGCCTCCCCACCCTGCAGGATGTTATTCCTGAGCTCAGACGCCTAAGTGTAACGGGCCATTTCATTATTCTGTTAGATTGGCTGCCCTGGGTAATGCTGTATGTGGTAAGACCATGGATCCACTACTTCATGATGCTCTTCATTTGCTACCAAACAGTCCTTTGATCTGAGGCAGGATAATGCAGGATACCATGTTGGTAATAGGCATTTTGAGGACTATTAGACAGTAATTTTGGGAAGGGGATTGCTGGAAGGGAAGACAAGCCCATATAAGAGTACAAATTAATTACAGTAGGAAAGAGTTTGCTTCTCCCTCTGGGATGGAAGGAAATTAATGCAAACAACTTGCTACTAAGTGGCTCGTTGATCTCCTGAGGGAATGGTTCCAAATCATTGGTCTCTGCTGCTGACAGATCACGTATTCGACAGTGGTAGTGACTAGATGAGCCATAGTGAGAGAAGGCCTAAGCGGTTGTGCCCATGCATAGCCTCCATCTCTGCCATGATTACTTCATCCACAGGTTTGTTGTGTAAGCCTGCAGTCATCAAGGACAAGCCTGGCTGAAGTCCACTGAAGGAATTATCCTGTACACTTCATCTTTGCCTCAGGTGAATGGTCTCTTTTTGAGATTGCATAATACAGAAATCTGCACACTTTGCCATAATCAAAAGACTGTGTTTATTCTAAACTCAGTCCATGTCATTCCCTATCAATGTGATAACCAGGTGTACTGTTTGAAACTTTTCCATAAGGAAGGTTTTTCCCTCATCACTAGTACTTAGGCCCCCTCTGACAGAAGCTATAATTAGTAAAAACCAGTCACTTTTTGGCTCATGTCAACATATCAAGCTGTTCCATCCATGAGGAAGGCCCGCTTCTTCCTTCTCTGTTATCTGCTATTATTAATTTGTTAATAGTACAAAAATAGCTTCAGTCTTCACTCTCCCTGTCACTATGCCATTTGCCATGTAATTTTTCATTGCCTTCCCACTCTGGGTGAACATTCTGCCTCACCTTTTGACTCTGAACTTAGCCATGTGGTTTGCTTTGGGCCAACAGAATGTTAGCAAATGTGACCCAAGCAGAGGCTTAAAAAATACTTGAGTGATTGGTCTGGCCTTCTCTTGTGCCTCTAACACTGACATAAGAACATGACCAAGATAATCTAATGGAGAATGAGAGATGTGTGGGGCAGAGCTAAGTTGTTTTAGTCACCCAGCAGCCAAGCCCAAAATGTGAGCAAGGTCAGAAAATCTGCCTAGCCAATTCCCATCTCACCCTAGATGCATGCAATAAATGCTCATTGTTGATTCTCATAAATATTTTTGGAGCTATTATGTAGTATGATTGTAGCAACAAATAACTGATACAGCTGATCACAGGAAATTCCCCATGAGATCATAGGAACAGGTTGAAGCTGATGCATCAGTGCAAGAGGTAAATGATATGGGAATCTAGGCTATTTGTCCATGTAACTTTTATGTGCCCCTGGACTTTCAGGCTGATCCCAAATGTATCATTTTCATCAAGTGATTGCTACTTGACTATCTGACCTAATGATTTGGTGAATCCAGTTACACCCAGCTCGTGATATGGGCAGCTCCAGTTAATCACTTCAGTTTCTGTTAAGCACAGAGGCATGCCAAGTGTTGCCTTTCAACTAATGAAAAGGTGTGACCTTGCCCTGCTTACCAGAGATGCTACACAATGTTGTATTTCTGGTATCAGTACCATCAGTGGATAATAAGTCATGTAATTTGAGCCGGCGAGAGGCTTGTATCACACCCTCTCTTGCTCTGGGCCCCACTTGAAACTGTGAACCTTTCGAGTCTCCCCATAAATGGGTGAGAGCAGTATTTGGCTTTCAAAAGCCAAAGTCCCCAAAATGCCATACCTCTTTCTTAATGGTAGTGGGTGCAAGTTCAATAACTTGTCCTTTACCTTAGAGATGTCCCAGCATCCTTTAGAGCGTTGGACCCATAAAATATGCAGGGGTCTGTAACTTCCATCCTTTTCCCTTTTGCTCGTGTGTGTCGGGGACCAACACTCCTTTCCACTAAATCTGAGTAGGCTGGTTTATATAGAGAGGACCAGCGTACTGTTCTGTGGAATATCAGGATGAACAAGATCCCTGCAGGCTGTACTGTGAGAGAGGGAGGAAGAGTTACATAGCCCTTCCATCATGGGTTATCATGCGTTCCTATACTTACCAAGTAGATATAAACATTTTTGATGTGTTTAATGAGTGAAAAAAAGTTTACCAAATCAAAAGCCATGTACCATGCCAGAGGCTCATTGATATGTTCCAGGAAAGGGGCCATATCTGGCATGGAAACCATGATGGGCATGGCAACATGGCTAAGGGTGCAGTAGTCCTTTGTCTATTGCCATGGTGCTGTGGTTTTAGCAGGGACTGTACAGGTGAATGCAGAGGGTGTCACTTCCGCATCCTTTAAGTCTTGAGGTGGTGCTAATCTGTGCAATTCCACTCAGAATGCAATCTTTTTTTAAAATTTTTTATTAAGGTATGATTGATATACACTCTTATAAAGGTTTCACATGAAAAAACAATGTGGTTACTACATTTACCTATATTATGAAGTCCCCACCCATACCCCAATGCAGTCATTGTTCATCAGTGTAGTAAGATCTAAAAGATACACTATGTGCTTTCTCTGTGCTACGCTGTTCTCCCCATGATCCCCCACACTGTGTGAACCAAACATAATACCCCTCAGTCCCCTTCTCCCTCCCTCCCGACCTGCCCTCCCACACCCCTCCCCTTTAGTAACCACTAGTTTATTCTTGGAGTCTCTGAGTCTGCTGCCATTTTGTTCCTTCAGTTTTGCTTCATTGTTATACTCCACAAATGAAGGAAATCATTTGGCATTTGTCTTTCTCTGCCTGGCTTATTTCACTGAGCATAATGTCCTCCAGCTCTATCCATATTGTTGCAAATGGTAGGATTTGTTTCTTTCTTATGGCTGAATAGTATTCCATTGTATATATGTACCACATCTTCTTTATCCATTCATCTACTGATAGACACTTAGGTTGCTTCCATATCTTGGCTATAGGAAAAAGCGCTGCAATAAACATAGGGGTGCATATGTCTTTCTGAATCTGAGAAGTTGTATTCTTTGGGTAAATTCCAAGGAGTGAATTTCTTCTTTGGAGAACCATCTCTTCATATCTTCTGCCCATTTGTTAATCGGGTTATTTGCTTTTTGGGTGTTGAGGCATGTAAGTTCTTTATATATTTAACCCCTTGTCGGATATGTCATTTACAAATATATTCTCCCATACTGTAGGATGCCTTTTGTTTTGTTGATGATTTCCTTTGCCGTACAAAAACTTTTTAGTTTGATGTAGTCCCATGAGTTCATTTTTGCTTCGGTTTCCCTTGCTCAAGGAGATGTGTTCAGGAAGAAGTTGCTCATGCTTATATTCAGGAGATGTTTGCCTATGTTGTCTTCTAAGAGTTTTATGGTTTCATGACTTACATTCAAGTCTTAAATCCATTTCGAGTTTTGTGTATGGGGTTAAACAATAATCCAGTTTCATTCTCTTGCATGTAGCTGTCCAGTTTTGCCAACAACAGCTGTTCATGAGGGTGTCATTTCCCCACTGTATGTCCACGGCTCCTTTATCATATATTAATTGACCATATATGGTTGGGTTTATATCAGGGCTCTCTAGTTTGTTCCATTGGTCTGTGGGTCTGTTCATGTGCCAGTACCAAATTGTCTTGATTACTATGGCTTTGTAGTAGAGCTTGAAGTTGGGGAGTCTAGTTCCCCCTGCTTTATTCTCCTTCTCAGGATTGCTTTGGCTATTCGAGGCCTTTTGTGGTTCCGTATGAATTTTAGGATGATTTTCTCTAGTTCGTTGAAGAATGCTATAGGAATTTTGATAGGAATTGCATTGAATCTACAGATTGCTTTAAGCAGGATGGCTATTTTGACAATATTAATTCTTCCTATCCGTGAGCATGGAATGTGTTTCCATTTATTGGTGTCTTCTTTAATTTATCTCATGAGTGTCTTGTAGTTTTCAAAGTATAGGTCTTTCACTTTCTTGGTTAGGTTTATTCCTAGGTATTTTGTTCTTTTTGATGCAATTGTGAATGGAATTGTTTTCATGATTTCTCTCTCTGCTAGTTCATTGTTAGTGTATGGGAATGCCACAGATTTCTGTGTATTAATTTTGTATCCTGCAACTTTGCTGAATTCAGATATTAGATCTAGTAGTTTTGGAGTGGATTCTTTAGGGTTAGGGTTTTTTATGTACAATATCATGTCATCTGCAAACAGGGACAGTTTAACTTCTTCCTTGCCAATCTGGAGGCCTTTTATTTCTTTGTGTTGTCTGATTGCCGTGGCTAGGACCTCCAGTACTATGTTGAATAGAGGTGGGGAGAGTGGGCATCCTTGTCTTGTTCCTGATCTTAAAGGAAAAGCTTTCAGCTTCTCGCTGTTAAGTATAATGTTGGCTGTCGGTTTGTCATATATGGCCTTTATTATGTTGAGGTACTTGCCCTCTATACCCATTTTGTTTAGAGTTTTTATCATGAATGGATGTTGAATTTTGTCACATGCTTTTTCAGCATCTATGGAGATGATTATGTGGTTTTTGTCCTTTTTGTTGATATGGTGGATGATGTTGATAGATTTTCGAATGTTGTACCATCCTTGCATGCCTGGCATAAATCCTACTTGATCATGGTGGTGATCTTTTTGATGTACTTTTGAATTCAGTTTGCTAATATTTTGTTGAGTATTTTTGCATCTATGTTCATCAGGGATATTGGTCTGTACTTTTCTTTTTTTGTGGTGCTTTGCCTGGTTTTGGTATTACAGTGATGTTGGCCTCCTAGAATGAGTTTGGAAGTATATCCTGCTCTTCTGTTTTTTTGGAAAACTTTAAGGAGAATGGGTATTAGGTCTTCACTAAATGTTTGATAAAATTCAGTGGTGAAGCCATCTGGTCCAGGAGTTTTGTTCTTAGAAAGGTTTTTGATTACCGGTTCCATTTCATTGCTGGTAATTGGTCTGTTCCTGTTTCTTCTTTGGTCCATCTTGGAGGGTTGTATTTTTCTAGAAAGTTGTCCATTTCTTCTAGGTTATCCAGTTTGTTAGCATATAATCTTTCATTGTATTCTCTAATAATTCTTTGTATTTCTGTGTTGTCCATAGTGGTTTTTCCTTTTTCCTTTCTGATTCTGTTTATGTGAGTAGACTCTCTTTTTGTCTTGATAAGTCTGGGTAGGGGTTTACTATTTTGTTTTATTTTCTCCAAGAACCAGCTCTTCTTTCATTGATTCTTTCTATTGTTTTATTCTCAGTTTTACTTATTTCTGCTCTAATCTTTATTATGTCCCTCCTTCTACTGACTTTAGGCCTCATTTGTTCTTCTTTTTCTAGTTTCATTAATTATGAGTTTAGACTGCTGATATGGGATTGTTCTTCTTTCTTGAGGTAGGCCTGTATTGCAATATACTTTCCTCTTAGCACAGCCTTGGCTGCGTCCCACAGATTTTGTGGTGTTGAATTATTGTTGTCAGTTGTCTACACATATTGCTTGATCTATGCTTTTATTTGGTCATTAA